TGTATTTTTTAATAATTTTTAAATATAATAATATTGATTTGTAATTAAAATTAATTTTTAATTAATAAATATAAAAATTCATTATAAATAGATATTTGGTTTTTATAACAATTAAACTTTTTTAAAATAAACATAATAGAGTAGTTAATCAAAGCCCTCATTACTTTTTTTATTTTGCATATATAACTATTACTATTGTATATCCTTTTTATCTCAATTTGTCTCATCTCTTCTAAATGTCTATATAAGAAGTTTTCAAATCAAAACATAAATGATATAAGTCATTAACATTATTCTCTTAGTACATTTTATTCTATACTCCATGTTTTATTAAATTTTATTACTATGTCATCTCTTAGCTTATATTCACATATTTTATCACTAAATTATATACCTATATTTGCAATCACTTTTTTTTCCTCTCTCTCTCTCTCTCATAAGGACCCAAACTTCAATTGTGCTCAATTAAGGTCTCAAACTACATGAAATTTTCAAATAAAATCCCAATTGGATGCGTTATTTTCTTGCAAGATGAAATATTCTTTTGTCGTCAAATGTCTTGGATGTTTGTTAACTATCCCTACCTTTCTCAGCAAATTGGATTGCCACATAAAAAAACATGTTGACTTGGCATTGCCACAAGGATGCCATTGGTGAGTCCTAGTTACTTTTAAGGAAATTCCCACCAATTCATATGGCAATGACAAGTAAGCATGTTTTGCATGTGGCAATCCAATTGGTGAAAGAGTTAACGGCCATCCAAGGTATTTGATGGCAGGAGAATATTCTATCCAATTAGAACCTTATTTGAAAATTTCATATAATTGGAGACCTTAATTGAGTGCATAAAGTTTGAATCCAAAATTAAGAATTTTGTGCAAGTTCAAGACCTTTTTCCATACTTTTGCCCTATTCTTTTTTAATCACTCTTTGCACTTCAATCAATCATTAGATATGTACTTTTATTCCAATCTCTCACTCCATTTATCTACATTAGATATGTTTTAAGTCCAAATATGAAAAGCACAACTTTTTACCATTATCTATTGGTATTTTTTTTACTTGTGTGCCTTTACCCTTCTCTCATTTTTTTTTTCTTGTGATACCATCTCTTAACTTACCATTGCACAGTTTTCTTATTATATTTATCATTTAAACCATATCTACTATCACTTTTTCATTTTATATTAATAATTTATTTGTTATTATTCTTTCTCTCCTTACCCCCCTTTCTACTATTCTTCCTTGGTTATCCCTCTTCAACTATGTTTGTATTTTTTTTACCCAATTTTCCTCTTTCTATCTATTAGTAGATATTTTATATTATTGCACTATTACAATAACATATAAATATCTTAAAATCACAAATAATTGAGTAATATATGCAATAAATTTATATACATATCCACATTATAAGTTTTACCTAATTTTTCTCTTTATATTAGTAATTTATTCATTATTATTCCTTCTCACATTATTCTCTCATTTCTATTATTGTTTCTTAGTCATTCTTTTAAATCTTTATCTCTCAAATATGTCTTCTTCTTTTTTACTCTAGTTTTTTCCTCTTTGAACCATTTTACTTACTTATATTTCACTTTTTATTAATTTTTCTTAGGACTTTTTCTCTGAACTTATTCTCTCACATTTTATTATTATATTTATCTATTTATTTTACATTTTTTTATTAACATCTATCCACTCTACATTGATCCTCATTTTTTCTTTATATATTGATAATTTACTTGTTATTAATTTTTCTCTCATTATCATTATTCCCTCAATATTATTCTTTCTTATTCACTCATTGCATCTATGTTTATTATTATATTTGATTCTTATCCCAATTTCTCTCTCTCCCTCTCCTTCTCCCTCATTTTATGTATATTAAAATTGTTCAACTTTTTATCTTGAAGCTTTTAAAGGCTCTTACTTTACCCTTTTTATAATTTTTTTTGATAGTTTAAACTTCTAAAAAAGAGAATGTTAAAGCATTTTTAAGTTCCTCTCACAAAGACTTCCTTTTTATTTATAAGTTTCTCACAAAGACTTCTTTTTTAATTTTAGGTTCCTTATAAGTTTGTTCTCTTATTACTTCCTACTTATGCTAAACTCATTTAGAATATTTTTTTTTTATACTTTTCAAATTGGTCTTTTAAGTTGATACACATCAATTATATGTACTACAATTTGTAGTTATTTCATAATTCTTGAAATTTTAGTAATCATTATTCAAAAATACATTTATTTAAAATTATTTACAACTTAATTATCAAGAAAATGGTTGGTGTACTCTTTGGTTCAACACATCTTTTAACATGCGTTTGGTTCAATCATTAGAATATAATATAAGTATAGTTAACTTAACTAGTTCTTGTATCCTATATACGTGGTTGTATTTTTAAGTTTGTTTGCTTTTAATTTTAGACCAAAAGATAATGATTTTTTAATGAATGTATTGAATCAGATGGTATATCAATCAGTGTTCTAATTAATACTCAATCTCATAATAATAGATTATAATTTATTATTTAGAAATACATCAAGGGTTTGTCTAACATGTGGCCTTAGGGCATAGGTTAAGGGTGCAATAAATGCATCTGTTTGTAATTAATTTATATTAAAATTTGTAAAAGTTGACATAGATTTTAACATCATTGACACGTGGATAGTTTTAATTGGTTAATTGATTAAATCAAAGTCAACATTTATACTTTTAATAAACATTAATTATCAAAAGGTGCATTTATTGCACTCTTGTCCTTTACCCTAAGGGCACAGGATAGAAAATCCATACGTCAATTATATGTACTTAAATAGAATATAATGTGTATTTATGCTAAACATATTATATAATTGAAGTAAAAGTCATATTATATATTTGGATAAGTTGTTGCAACTTTAATACTATGTAGATATAGATGTTAGATTATTAAATGGTAGTTATAATGGAATTTGAGAAAAATTAGTAACAAGTTTGATATAATTAAAGTATTATTAAGTATTATTATATGGAGAATTAATTTAAGAAGGATTATATGTGTTATGCTCACTAAGAAATTTGAAATAGTATTGATTTAATTTGATAAGCCTTTAACTTCCTTAATGAATTTTTTTTAAGAGATTTATTGGGTACTTGTAATCCAAAAATTTTATGAAATTTTAGAATTTAAGTTAAGGACTTATATGGTAAAAATTATTATTGTCAGGTCTAATGGCTAAATTTTCCAAACTTAAAGGGGTCAAAAGAAAAATCTGGTAATAAAAGGGGCTAAAGCTAGTTTTCCCTTTTTCTCTCCTTGCCTTTTTGTGTTTCCCTGAAGCCCTATCACCAAAAAATTCCTACAAGCCCTAGCCATGTGCCTAGTTTTTTCCCACTAGAAATCATGTGAGATTTAGCTCTTTCCTTCCTCCCAAGTTTGATTTAGAGATTTATGAGTTTATGATTCTCCAAATGATTATCAAAACACAGATCTTGTTGTTGATATTCCCCAATTTTCTAGTTCATGTCAAGTTCTTCAATAGTGTAGGGGCAAACTGCCACTTTCCAGTATTTTCCAGTAAGAAATCAGCCATATTATTTATCTTTTCATCTTTGATTTGAATTAAGTTAACTCTAAACCTTTGGGATTTTCAATTTTGGGATTTTTCTATGGCTGCTCCTTGATTTTGCCCATAATCTAACACCACTAGAATCTGATTCCTAATTTTGTTGGAAATTTTGATAGCATGACCTTGTAATAGTATTTTACTCATAACTCTTTCTGTAGTTATCGGATTGAGTCCATTCTTTATTCTATAGAAAGTTAAGAGATAGCCCTACAATATTTCTATTAGACATTTAACGTAGTTAAGTTATTTTCAATGTGAAAACTCTATGGCAAGTTCAATTTACAAACCAATTTTAGGTTATCAAAACAGTTCAGTAAACTCTAAGTAGGCACGCTAAAATCAAGAAATGATAACAACTTCATTTTAAACCAATCATGCTCATTTTTGTATAAAATGGGTTTAGTCCCACCACCACTTCAAAACAATTCAATATTATGTTTTTAAAACCTTTACCTTAAAATCCAAGGGCATTTATCATAGTTTTACTTATCTCGCCTTATAGGTACACAACAAGCAAGAATTCAAGATCTCAAGACTGTTGAGGTGATTTAGAACCTATACCGCATAAAATGAATGCTTAGAATATGCTTAAAATAGCTCTAAATGTCACACTAAATAGTAGGTATTCCAACCAATTTTTTGGGCAGAACAAGATGGAAAAAAAGTGAGAAACCATGCTCAAAACCATCCCAGACACCAGTAGCAATATTGGGCAGCAAGGTGATGGTTTCTGCCATTTAAAGCAGTCCCAAAATGCTTGGAAAAAGCCCTGAATAACAATGACTTTTTGGGCAAAAGGACAACCGTAAAACAAGGAAGAATATAAGCCAAAACTGGGCTGAAATGGACAATAGCAAAAGGGCAGCAAAATCAAGCAATAACAAGGGGTTTTAGAGCAGCAAAATAGTAGCTAAAAGTCTACTAAAACCATGGTGCAAT